AGCAAGACCACCTGCAGCACGGAATGTTGAGGTTGAAGTCGAAGACTCACAAACTTATGAAGAACCAGCAATACGAACTATCACGAGACAACAATACAAGTCTCAGCAACCAGATAATCTGGAAGAACAAGATTACAAAGATGAACTGGAAATTATCCCAGAAACCAAATGGAAGAAAAGCAAGAAAATACTTAAAGCAATTCAAGCTGAATTGCAAGCACAAGATCTAGAAACAATCAAAGAACACGACAAACAATCAAACAATCAAGAAACAAAAAGTTTTACCCAAGAGGAGCTGGCACCTGTTCAGCAGAAAGAAAAGTTTCATGTGGAAGAGCAAGCTGAAGCAAGGTTGAAGCAAAACCTGGTGGAAGATGAACAGCCTGATCAGATTGAGCAACCAGCAGAAGAAGACAAAGACCTGCAGTGGATAAAGGAGTTTCAGACGCAGGAACTTGAGGTGGTGCTTCCGAAGTTTTGTGAGCAGACGGAGCAGAAGAAAAATTCAATGCCAGAGTTTGACGTGGAACAGGCAGTAGCTGGTCAAGCTGGCTTGGAGCAGAAAGCTGTTGTGAAGAAGAAAGAAGAAGATGTTAGACAACAAAGAGGTGTAGAAGTTCAGAACCTTGTGGAGCAGCCATCAAGAGGAGCCGTATACCCAGGCCAAAGTTTGCACTTGAAGGTGGCTGGTGTGAAGTTGGTGAAGAGACGAGGAAGTGTGTTTCTCAGGTTTTGGTGGGATAGAGGCAAGCTGGTTTCATCCTTTGTAGCTCTGTAGGAGTAGAGGAAGTAAGTAGTAAAGCAGCAAAACTGAAAGCCGTCCAAGAGAAGTCGTGGCTGTTTCAAGTCGGATGTTTAAAGTTTCGAGAAGAGGCGTTTGTGCAACTGATCTCGGGAAGAAGCTGGTCAAATTCAGATCACAAGACTTTGAGGAAGCAGCTCAAACTTATGAAGAGGAGGAAGAGGAGGAGGAACCGCATGAGGGAACAGCTACCCACGATGCAGCAATGGAGCAATGACTGCGGGACGCAGCACAAGGCAGTCGTGGGAGAGTGGAGAAGGGAGAAAAAAAAGACAAGCTCGAGGATTCAAGCTTAGGAAAGTAAACTTGAGAGGTTCAAGGTTAGGACTGTATTCCTAACCTTGACGTGAGCAGTAGAGACTATAAAAGTAGGACTTAGAATGTTTTTAGACTGATCCCTAATACAAAATACATTGCAATACATCGTCATTCTGCCTATCTCTTGGCTCTTCACAGCAATGTCTTACTTACCCATCGCCTTCAAGGGATCAAAGGCGTGGGACTAGCACCTTCAAGCACTTGTTCACAGTCCCAACTTGGCTTGGCACAAGCAGGTAAGTGCATTCTTCTTGTAGTGTAGTTTTAGATTTAGGGACTAGATAAGATTTGAAGCTCCTAGGAAAATCTCGTGTGGACGTTTCCTCCCAGTCCAGAGATTCCAGGAGTTTTCAACTGCTGACAATGAGTATATTATTATTGCTTCTGACTACTTGACTCGTTGGGTGGAAGTTGGTGCTCTTGCTAGCACCTCTGTAACAGCTATTGGATACTTCCTCCTCAATCGAGTGGTATTCTAGCATTCTTGTCTAGAGCAGATTCTTTCGGATAATGGTCCTGCATTTATGGCTGAAGCATTTCATGTTTTGACGTCTCGGTTGGGGATATGCCACACTTTCACGAGTGCTTATCATCCACAATTAGACGGTCTAGTGGAACAGCTTGTTTGGACATTCAAAGGGATAATTGTGAAGTATGTGAACTTTTAGCATTCGGATTGGGATGGTTATTTGTTGTCTCTTTGGTATGCCTATGTCATAGAGGTGTAGAGTTATATTGGTGCTTCACCATATAAACTTTTATATGGTCATGATCCAATATTACTAATGGAGCTGGGTTTACCTTTGCAATTGCCACAAGCTCCCGATGCTAGGTCATGGGATCAATATTTGATGAGCATTTTTTCACTTGTCCAAGCAGAGTCTGCCGAACACTTAGGCTGCGTACAAGTGGGATAACAACGGCACTACAACTCCCATTATCGTCCACCTGCAGAGTACACCGTATCGGGTGTTGCAGCAAGTTGGACCGCAAGTTTATAAGGTTCGG